GTGATCTCCAGCACCACCAGCAATTGTGGTTAGGCGTGTGTGAGCACCACAATTAAAATGGGGTGCAACCTCCGGTGAGCACTGCAAACAGAATGCACACGAGCACCTCAGTTAACAGGGGCTTGACCCCTAGCAAGTATGTGTGCAAACAGCACCATTCAGGGGGTCAGGGAGTGGGGGATGAGGGAGATGTCTCACAGGGCATGTGGAAGGTCTGAATTTGATCCCCAGCACCACATGGCCCTAGACCCTTGAGCACACTAAGTATGCCTTCCCCGCAAATAAATAAAACCAGAAATAAATAAAACAAAAGCATGAGAGAGTGAGACCCCCTGCAAGCATCAAGACGGAATGTGCAAATACTGCAGGCTGATGTATGACCCTTGAGGAATGCGACAGCCAGGCATATATCACTGATCCTGGTCATTGCAGCAACGGCTATCCTGGTCTCCTTGATGGTCCCCAAATCCAGGCAGGTTCAGATGTCAAAGCCTTAGCATTGTTGCACCATTTGACTGGAATACTTCCTTATACATTGGTGTAGTTTTCTTCAAGTCACTCGATTTTTTGGTGAGACTACCTTAAACCTTTTATTTAAAAATTACACCTCCATGCCTCATCCCTAAAGCTCCTTTAATTTCTCCCTTTATAACTATATGTGGCAATTGATGTTATTATTCATTATACTTAGATGCTGGTTTTATTGCCTAACTTTTGTTGTGTTCATCTCATATTCCCGGCACTTAGAAGAATTCATGGAACATATTTGATATTTACTGAACTAATGAAAGAAAGAATTCTCATTGCTAAATCAGGACACTCTTCTTAAAATAATTAGGTTTATTTAGTTTGGGGGCTATACCTGGCAGTGCTGAGGGATTTCTCTTGGTTCTGTGCTCAGGGTATTATGTATGATGCTGGGAATTAAACCCAGGCTGGCAACATGCAAGACAAGCACCTTATGCTTGTGAGGTCTGGTCTCAGTGAGATTTTAAATAGAATTTTGGGGAAATTTTTAATTCTAATTAAGTTAGCTATGATTTAAAATTTTTAAATATGCAGCTATATGGTAATGTACCTTGTAGTTTGATGGAAATTTTGGTCAAAAAAGGTGTCAGAGAAAGTATTGTGGCTTTATACTATGAATCAGGACACGGAGATATTGAGGCAAAAGTAGACACACAGACCAATGGAATATATTTCATACCCATGGACAGTAAGTTTACAACCAAAGACCATAAAATGGAGAAAGAAAATTCTCTTCAATAGCAGGTGCTGGGAGAACTGGCGAGCCACATGCAAAAGAATAAAATCAGACCTGTCGCATACTATGTACAAAAGTTAATTCAAAATAGATGAAAGGCTTGGGTGACAGGCTGCAAACCATAACATATAAGAAAACAGACAAAATATCAACATTCTATGATACTGACTTCAGTAGTGTCTCTGGGAACTCTACTTCATGACAAGAAAAATAAAAGTGAAAATAAACAGGAGATTTGGGATCTCCATGCCTTGGATGCCTGTATCGCAATGTGTGGCCATAAGCTTGATCCCTCTTGGGTATATGCCCTCAGTTCCATCCAGGCAGCTCTGCTGTCTGAGTTTCTTAACTCCACAAGCCATTTCTGGACACATGACTTTCAAGTGTGTGTGAACCCTACAGAGAAAGAGGTGGAACTCCCAGGCCCTACAGGATGTCAAGCACTGTGGCTGGGAAGTACAGTATGAGCATCACAGCAGCCCCAGTGAACATGACCACCAGGAAGTGTGACAGCATCATGACTACAGCCTCTCGACTCTTTGGGAGCGCTAAGGCCAAGTGTGTGAGTGGTACAACCTGATGTGTGAGCCCTGGTGAGCACCATAAAGAAAAATGTGTGAGTATCACTGCCAGGCATGTGTGACCTTTGGTCATAGCCACAACAACAATAAAGGGAAAGGAAATGAGGAAGTAAACACCTGGAATTACATCAAAATGAAAAGCTTCGCAGGTAACTTTGAGGTAACTCAAAGGGGAGAAGCACATGACTTGTATGCATGAGGCCCTGAGTTTGATCCCTGGTCTACTCATATCCCTGCCCCTCCCCCCAAAACCCACAGAGTGTAGGTCCTAAGCATTGTTTGGTAAGGCCCTGGGTGTCCCCCAAGCAAATATGGGGAGGCCCTCCCCACTCTAAAAATAAAGCCTTCTCCGACAAATAAAGCAGGGGCTTGTGGGGGGAGGGGAAGTATTATGGGCTGGAGAGATAGTACAGTAGGGAAGGTGCTTGCCTTGCAAGCAAGTGGACAACCCTGGTTCCATCTCTGACATTGCATATTGTTCTCTGAGCACAATTGAAAATGATCCCTGAGCACAAAGCCAGGAGTAAGCCCTGGGCACTGCCATATGTGCCCCCAACACTCTCAAAAGAAGCTTCATTAAAACAAAAAGATAAAGTATATATCAGACAAAGGTCTAATATCCTATATATTATATATACTCATAAATCAGTAAATTAGACAACTCTATATAGGAAATGGAAAAGAAAATCTGAACAGAAGGTATACACAGGAAGATACACAGGTCAGGAGTACACGGAAACATTCTCAAAGTCATTAGAACAAGAGTACTGGAGGTATGCGGAGAAAAAGTTACTCTCATACACTGGTGCTGGAAATGTAAATTGATTCATTTGCTATAGCAAGGTATGGAGATTTCCCAGATAATTGCAAAAAGGTCTATTACATGAGCAATTCTTGGCAATCAATCGGAAGGCAGATATGCAAAAAACACAAAGGCACTCACATGAAAAGGTATATGTACATCTTTGTTCATTGCAACAGCATTTATTTTTGTTTTGTTTTGCTATGCTTGGGCTTACTCCTGGCTCTGAGCTCAGGAATCACTTCTGGTGGGGCAGGGAGGACCACATGCGGTGCTCAGGATGAAACTTGGATAGGCTGTGTGAAAGGCAAGTGCCTTATCTGTTACACTATCCCTTTGGTAATTATATTTAGAATATAATTTACAATGCAATTATATTTATAATAGATCTGGAATTAAGCAAAGTCCTCAAGAACAGGATTAAGATGCTGTATGTATACTCCATGGAATACAACCTAGCTATGAGAAAAGATGAAATCTTGCCACTGTGTGGAACCGGAGGAAGTGATGTTAAGCTAAATAAGTCAGGAGACAAACGTGTGATATCTCACTCAAATGTGATACTAAAAAGAAACAAAGCAATGTCCAAGGAAAACAAATCTTTAATGTTAATGAATAACTCAGTTTTATTGTTCACATTGTCGCAGTTGGGGCTCTAGACTGCAGGAATGAAATATGGTCAAAAGGAATTGTCTCTTGGGAACTGATTCTCTTTGATTATCTCAGTGGGCCTGACCACCCAACCAATCCAATCTCAAAATTACCAATAAGAATCGTCTGGTGGATATTCCCTGATAATCTCAAGGGATCCTCACTGCTCACACTGTCATCCATCAGACCACCATCAAGATCGCAAACCACGGTTTGATAGTATAACAGGTAAGACACTTGCCTTGTCTGCAGTTGATCCCTGCATCCATCCCCTCTACCATGCACGGTCCTCCAAGCACTAACAGGAGTCATCCCTGAGCGCCCGTCCCGCAGGCCTGGTTTCCTCCCCATGGCGCACCTCGCCCCCCAGCAGCAGAAACCGGGGGTGGGGGTGGCGGTGGGGCTGAGCAGCTCCTCGGATCGCCGCTCCGCTAGCTTTCAGCCTCAACTTGGGCTTTGTTTTTTTTTTTTCTTTTTTTTGCTTTTGGGGTCACACCCGGCAATGCACAGGGATTACTCCTGGCTCTGCACTCAGGAATTACTCCTGGCGGTGCTTGGGTGACCATATGGGATGCCCGGGGATCGAACCCTAGTCCGCCGCGTGCAAGGCAAACGCCCTACCCCGCTGTGCTACCGCTCGGGCCCCTGGGCTTTGTTTTTATGACAGTCAAGTCGATGCCGCACGAATGGCCATGTCCGTTTTAAGAATCTTTAAAAAAAAAAACTATGATTATAGAACTCCGCCCTGAGAAGTTGAATCGGGCAGCGAGCGGCCCGCGAGGAGCAAGGGTGGCGGCCCGTCGTGGTCGCGGTGCGGGACGCAGCCCGGCCCGGACCCCGGAGACCCAGTACCCGATCCCGGCCCCGCTGCAGATCCCCGCCAGGGTGACCGCCGCGGCCGGCTCCCAGGACTAGCCAGACCCCGCCCCCCCTCCCCCCTCCCCGCGCCCGCCACCCCGCCACTCAGCTCTCGCGCAGGCCGCCTCTTGCCCCCCAAGTCGCCGCGTCGTCCCTTCGCAAGGCCAAGCGGACCTCCCGAGCCCCGCCAGCCGCGCCCCCTCCGCGGGCCCGCGCGGGCCTTGGCCCCCTCAGGCTCGCGCCGCCGCCCCTTTCCAGGCTCGCCGCGCGCCCCGCCCCGCCCCCTTCGGAGGTTCGCTCGGGCCTCGGACTCTCAGGCTAGTCGCGCGCGCCCCGCCTCCTCCGCGGGCTCGCGCGGGCCTCGGCCCCTCAGGCTCGCCGCGCGCCCCGCCCCCTCCGCGGGCTCGCGCGGGCCTTGGCCTCTCAGGCTCGCGTCGCCGCCCCTTCCCAGGCTCGCCACGCGCCCCGCCCCTCAGGCTCGCCTCGCGCCCCGCCCCCTTGACAGGTTCGCGCGGGCCTCGGACTCTCAGGTTCGTCGCGCGCGTCCACCGCCCCCCCCCCCCCCCCCCGGCCTCCTCCGCGGGCTCGCGCGGGCCTTGGCCACCTCAGGCTCGTCCCGCAGCCCCTTCCCGGCTCGCTGCGCGGGGCGCCCCGCCCCGTCCGCGGGCTCGCGAGGGTCTTGACACCCTCCCCCCCGCTTCAGGCTCGCCGCGCGCCCCGCCCCCTCCGCGGGCCCGCGCAGGCCTTGGGCTCTCGGGCTCGCGCCGCCGCCCCTCCCCAGGCCCTCCGCGCGCCCCGCCCCCTCCGCGGGCTCGCGCGGGCCTTCGCCTCCCAGGCTCGCCGCGCCGCGCGGGGGGCGGAGCCGGCGCGGGCTAGCCGGGATCAGGCCCCGGGATTAGCTGGTTTCGGAGTCGCGGGATCCGGCCAGTCGCGAGCGCTCGGCAGACAAAGCAGCCTCCGAGGCCCGAAGCGCTGTGCCGCGGGGTCTCTGCGCCCCGGGCCGAGGGAGCGCGGGGCAGTTTCTCCGCAGACCGCCGCCGCCGCCCCGCCACCGGCCGCTGCATCGCAACAGGTTCGCCGCCTCCCCGCGCTCTCCGTCCCCCGGGTGCTTCCGCTCGGCTCGGGGCCGCGGTCTGGCTACCGCTTCGATGCGGTTCGGATCCAAAATGATGCCGGTAAGCGGGCGGGATGAGCGCCGGAAGTTGGGGTCGCGGGCGGGGGTCTGGCCGGGCTGGCCGGGCGGGTCCGGGACGGAGCGGGGGTGCGGGGAGAATCGGGGATCGCGCGGCCCACGGCGGGGGAGCGGCCGTGGCGTCGTGCCCTGGGTCCTGGGCGGCGTGGGAAGTTGGGGCGACCCTTCCCCAGGAGAGGCTCCAGGAGTGAGTCGAGCAAACTTTTGTCTGGGTCCTGACTTTGCAGTTTATTTTTTTGGGAGGTCAGTAACGGGGGAGCTGGGGAATCTCATTTGCTTATTAAAACAAAAACTTTTTGCTGGGGTGAAATGCACGGGAAAGCGTTGCTTTGCTGTGTGAATTTCGAACTCGGTACCTGCAATAGCGGCCAAGCCGCTCTCCCTTTTTTGGAGACTGGCTTTTGTGGATGCAGTTGCAGAGTTTTGGGTCGCAGGGAAACGTGCGGCCCCCCCCCCCCGCCCCCGTTTTTCCTGAGCTTGCTTGTTTGGCAGCTCTTCTGCAGAGGATTAGTGAGGCCCCCCAATGGGCTCCGCAGGCTTTGCCACGGCCTCCAGGCCACAGGTGAATGGCAGGTCTCAGACATTGGAATGTCTGTCCTCTGGCCCCTGCGGGGCGTCAGGGGCTTCTGCAGACTTCAGCAGCGTGTTTCTGCTGAGACCTCCCCCACCGAAGAACCGCGGTCGTTTCGTGTAGCCTCCCGACGATGTCTTTCTTCCTGGGATTTGACTTGTACTCAGAAACAGTTTCTCTTTTATGCCATTTGTGGAATGGAGCGATGGTATTCGCACACTCAGATGCAGAGTATAAATACCCTCACCTCTGGCCACCCAATAGCCTCACGGGCGGGACCCCAGTCTCTCAGACTGGACAAAGTTATCAGAACTGACTGTTGATTTGAGGTGGTTTGGTAATATTTCCACCTCCAGAGTTCCAGAAATACCAAGTGTTAATAGCTTTGCTGGTTATGAAGTTCAGTTTTGTGATGTGAATACCCAGTAATAAATATAGAGCTTGGTATCTGTGGGTAAGGGAGAAGGATTTTGCTGTTAAATTTTTTTTTTAATTCCTTGGATTTATGTTTCTTTGTCTTTTAGAGAATTTCTGCAGATTAGGAATTTTTCAGAATAGGGGTAAGAATAATGTTGCATCATGATTTCTTAAAAAAAATCAACTTTATGATTTCTTAAAAAAATCAACTTTATGTCCTTTGGGTTTTCTTAAAACTTAAGAAAGTTAATTATTCCCATCTACATACCAGATCATCAGATATGTATCTATTGAGACTGTATTTTTGGGGCAGGAGACTGGCAATTTTGGATTACCCCCAGCAGTGCTCAGTGCTTACTCTTGATTCTGTGCTCGGGGGTTATCATTCTTAGTGGTTCTTGGGGGGAGCTATGGGGTGCAAACTGGAGGTGGCTACGTGCAGTTTAAGCCCCTTGTGCCTTAACCCTTGTGCCAGCTCTCTGCATTTAATTTGGTATTATGATTCTTGTGATTGCTTTCTTTTTGTTTGCTTTTGGGCCATGCTTGGTGGTGCTCAGAGCTTACCCCTGTCTCTATATTGGATCACTCCTGGAGGGGCTTGGGGGGACTATACGGAGTGCCAGGGATTTAGTCAGGGTTGTTTGCATGCAAGGCAAGCACCCTACCCACTATACCCGTCTCTCCAGCCCTAGGCTCTGTGTGGTGTGGTGGTACACATATCTGTTTTGAGGCTAGACTAATACTTAAGTGTTTTCTCAGCTACTACCAGTGTGACCATAGGCTTTAGTTCAGGGGGGTCTCTCCTGCAAGTGTTCTGGGGACCTGCACTGGGGACCTTTGCAGTGCTAGGGATTGGGGTTGGCCACTTGGAATGCAAGTGCTTGAGTATCTTTTCAGTCCCATGTGACTATAGACTTTAAAAAAGAAAAGATTTCAGTTTTAGTTCCATCATTTTAAAAATGGTGCTAAAAATAATACCTAGGCGCTACCTCTTGGAGTGGTTTGAGGACAAGTTGCTATTTCTGAAACAATTAGTGTAGTATCTTGCTTGGTATAGGTGCTAGATAAAGCTTCCAGATTTATTATATTGGTTAAACAGGAGATTCTGAGATTTATGAAAAATAAAAATACTAATTTTTCATTAACCAATCTCATGTTAAATATATCTTTTCCCTATAATACTTGGGGCACCTGAATGAATATTTTTCTACATATACTTTTTGTCTTGGGACTGGAGATAAAGTACAGTTGGTAAATTGCCTTTGCATATGGTCCCCAAGAATCACAAGCTTCAGCCCTGGAGTCCCTGAGCACTGCTGGGTGTGGCCCCAAAACAAACAAAACATACAGTTTTTGGTTTTGTTTTGTTTTGGGGCCACACCTGGTGGTATTCGGGACTTACTCCTGGCTCTACGCCCAGGGATCACTCCTGGCAGTGCTTGGGGAACCATATGGGACTCAGGGAATCAAACCTGGGTCGGCTGTGTGCCAGGCAAGTGCCCTACCCGCTGCGTCATCTCTCCAGCCCCATATACATACATATTTTACATCTTGGTTGGGAAGATGGCTCAGTGCATTTGCAAACAGGCATTGCATTTGGGAGCTCCATGTTCCATATCCTGCACCTCATTGTTCCTAGAATACCACCTGGAGCAAGCATGGGCCCCAAATAACCCCTGAGCATAGCCAGGTATGGCCCAAAAGAAAACAAAATATATGTCTTATCTTTAGGGTTTTTTTTTGTGGGGGGAGGGGTGACCTCCCTTCCACTTCCAAAGGGCAGGAGTTCTATAGTATGTGGTGCTATGTGGGCCCTTGGGGCTGGGATTACCAGTGCACCAACCCCCCCACATTGGTGCCCCAGGGGTCTCCAGGGTCACATCTGGCAGTGCTCAGGGACTCAGAGGCTGTTCTGATGTTTGAACATGGATGTGGTATCAGAGATCAAACCACAGTCATCTGCATGCGACCTTAACCTTAGTGCCATCTTTCTGACCTCTCCAGTTTTTAGATTGCTTGGATTTCCTCCCCCCACCCCCAGGCATTGAATGAGGTTTCTTATTCTATTACTTCGAAAAAATTTTAACCCATTGATTAGAAAGAGCACTGTGCTGAATTAGTAGATGATCTCAGAATAGAGAGTTGCTTGGATAGGACTTCTTGGTTGTGGTTGATAAAAATATACATAACATCAAAATGACCATTTTAAGTGTTCTTTCTGTGGTATTGAGGGGCATGCCTTGATTTTCTTTCAAAATATTTTCAAGATAATAGTTTGCTATTTAGATGGCATTATGTTAAAAATGTGCAAATTGGGTTCACACCAAATGCTAGAGAAGCAAGTGACTTTCATGTGGGACCTGAGGTGATAATTGGACCCAAAACCAGAAGGGGGAGATGCGTTTTAGTAGGCTAACTAAAAATAAGTAGACAACTGCTGAGAATCACAATAGGGATAATGATAGGGTATTGCAGAGATGGGTGTGATAATTACACTCATTTTTTTTCAGATACCTGCCAAGTTAGTATCTCTCCCTCTCTGATCTCTCTACAACTTGGTGAGGGAGAAACTGATTAATCATCAGACTCAGCACTGTAGTTTCCTTTGTCAAAGAAGGTTCTTTTGCTGTTCCAGAGGACTATTTAGTGAGTTACACTCATTGTATTTGACTGCCAAATGGAAATAATTATTGAAAGTAAAAGTTCTCAGCTATTTAACGTTGTATCAGGTCCCTCTTTTCATTCCTTCTATTTTGTGAAGTGTGGCAGTCCAACAGAAATATTATCATGAGGGGGCTGGAGCAATAGCACAGTGGGTAGGGCATTTGCTTTGCATGTGGTTGACCCAGGTTCGATTACCCAGCATCCCATGTGGTCCCCTGAGCACTGGCCAGGAGTAATTCTTGAGCACAGAGCCAGGAGTAACCCCTGAGCATCGCCTATTGTGATGCAAAAAGCAAAAAAAAACCCTCCCCCCCAAAAAAACTGAGGTTTTCATGAAAGTATTCATGGGTGCCAGAGAGAGCTCTCCAGGTTGGGGTATATGCTTGCATGCAGTAGCCCCTTTATCTCCCGCCCCACATGGTTCCAGCTCCCTGAGCATCCAACTTGGCGTAGCCTTTGAGCACTGCTCTGTGTGCCTGGAAAAAAAGCCCCCCCCCCCCGCCCCCAGAGTAAAAGCATTCATTGCTCTTTTGTACATACAGTTTTTAATTTTGGTCACACCTGTGGTACTCAGGGATCACTCCTGGCAGGACTTGGGAAGCCATTTGGAGTGCCACATGCAAGGCAAGCGTCCCACTCAGTTCTGTCACTCTGACCCCCATTTTATATAGAGTTTAAACAAAAAACCTCACCCTACCACATATCTTTTTCGTGGTTGCTGCTTTTGTAGCATCGTGGGGTGGTATAACCTGGTGCTGGTACGTGCATGTTTAGTTTTGGTGCTCGGAGGACCCACTGTATGTGGCCGTGTCCTTAATACTCATTGGTTTGTTGTGTACCTTTAGCTGTGGAGTGACACATGTGTTTGCTGGGGGGTTGCACTTCTTCAGTTGTCCCATACACATTCTGGTTCCAGTGCTCACCAGGGCTCACATAGCCTGGTCTCAGTGCTTACACATCTTTATCTTTATGTTGTGGTGTCTGGGAGCAAGGCAGGGCCAGGAAGATGCCAGGCAAGTATGCTAGCACTGAGCTACCTCTCCTGCCACAGATGTATTTTCCTGGCACACCGGCTGTGATGTTGCTCCAAAAAAGCTGTGGCATTGGAGATTGGTGCGTGAGTGATGTGTGTGGTTTTAAGGTAGGTTTGTTTCTCTATTTGATTTTTATTTTCTAAATTTTTGTTTTGTTTTAGGGTCTGTTTTTTGAATTAGGGTTTTGGTTTAGCAGAGCAGTCAGATCACACTCGGGCCCTGTGGGTATTGACCCTGACCTTGCAATGTTAGCTCAGAGTGTAGGTGTTCAAAGCCCCTGAGCTATTCCTCTGGGCC